TATCCCACCACAGAGGAGCTCCACGAGGACATGAGTAAGGGGTCCAACTGCGGAGGAGCTTCACAAGGGCATGAGGAGGAGGCCAAGGCCTGTTGTGCTGTGGAAGGGCCGAACACGGTGCGTAACGTGAAGACCTGATCTGCAAAGGTGCTAGGGGCTCAGGGTTTGCAGTCTCTACTGCTACTGAGCGAGTCACGTGCCCTTTGTTTATCAAGCCTCTCTTAAGAACAAGAAACTAGGGATGGAAAACTCCGCATGGATGCGTGCAGTCTGGGCACAAATCGGGGTGTTGTGAACTCGGTGTGCTCTGAGCACAGCCGACGTCTCTGCACTGCGGCTCCTTTGCCAGGGACTCACTGCTGACAGCAGTGCCCGCGGGCAGGGCTGGAGGAGCCGCACATTGAAATCCTGTGGAGCAGTTATGTTCTCCTCACAGCTTCGTTCTTGATTTCCGTGAGTATCATTAGATAGAAATTGCTGGGAGGATCGTAACGCAAGCACCTGCTCGCTGTCCTTATTAGAAGGAGGTTACTGAATCACTTCAAACTATTATTGAGCTATGAACACCACTTAGCACTGTGATATGGATGTGACCAGACAAACCTGTGCATCAGCACTTTTTAGTGAGGAGGATACTCTTGGAACAGATGTTACAATAAAGGAAATGTGAAAAACAAGGCATTGGAAATGTAATATGTGATAGAGCAGGGAAAATGTTAACGTGTCTTGTAAGGTCCTTTCTTTGGAAGATCTGACTGCCAGATGAGAAAATAGTGGTTCTTGGCATGGATATTTTTAAATTGAACTTCATTACTTTTTTAGTTTTTGAACTTATGCCAGGAAAACATAACAACTTTGAAGGTAATCGCTAAATTAAAATAGTGATGACCAGGAATTTGATAAATGGAGACAGAAGACAAATGCCAGGGCAGGTAATCACTCCGAGGATCTGTCTCTCATGGATTCCCCATACTTTCTCCATTTTTTACTTAGAATTCACCAAATTTAAACACTGCTTGTTAGAAATGCATAATGTGATTTTACATAATTAGCTCTTGCTTTTGCTAACTTTTGGTATTTTAACTATTCAGCTCAGAATGAAGGCAGTTTTGCACTGCAGAAGGTTGCAGTGCAGAGTCCCGTGATGGTGGCCCTGCAGGTCTGCACCTTGCTCCAGTTTATGTTGCCCCACTTCTGCTTGGCAAACACAGCTGTGGAGGAAAATCCACCATGGTTCTTTGCCTAGCTGGCTTGACCTTTTTTCATAATATTCTTAATTTTCGTATGGATTTTCCTTGCAAGCTAGGGTCTGCACTGTTTGCACTTTATGTCAAATTAAATTCTAACATCTGTAGGTTGCTGAATTTGGAGGTTAAAGCAATCTTTGAGAAAGCTGTTGTTTCTAGATAAATAGCTTTGAAGATAACAGTAATTGGGAATATTTGTTTTTTAGTCAGAAACTTAATGTCTAAATAAAATGCTGGAGATCTGAACCACCAATTCCTTTACAGAGGTGCTTGGTATTTGCCAGTATTAAGGCAGAAACGCGTTAAATCCTCTAAAAGCAATGAGTGTTGCCAGGTTTTTCCAATAGTTGCTGGGAAGAAAATTCCATAATAAAAATTTGTTAGCTGGTCCTGTTCAGGGCCATGGGGACTGCGACGCAGGAATCCTTCCTGGGGACGTGCCCGGAGCGCATGTCCGGGCTCCAGGGACCTTGCGCCGGTGCCCTCGCAGGAGTAGCGTTCTTATGGCGCTCTCCTACAAAATAGGGATTTTAATATTAAAGCTAATGCCCTGCTATGACAAACATGTAAACTTGGCACGCGGGTGGCAGTCTGCGCCTCCTGGAATCCGGCGCGTGGGGCGGCTATAAATAAGCGGCAGGTTATTTGGGAGTCGCGGAGCTGATATCCCGTATCGTAAACAGCAAGGGGCGGGAGGTGGTTTTCCCTGGACACACGTTGCATTTTGATGAATGCCGTATATATTTTATTTTGAAAATCAGTATCATAGAAGGTGAATGAATAGCATATATAGAGCTGGTGCAGAGACTGACTCTGAGCGAATCCTTGATTGTGGCATCCCGTGTCCATCGGCATAGCTTCATTCCTTTGGGAATGTCATTTCAACAGTCAGATCCCAGCAGCCTACGTGAACATACTGCAGAAGACACTCAAGTGATGGGTAAATTGTAAGCAAGCGGGACCTTAAAGCAAGAATGAATTTTAAGGTAACCTGGTTATTTATGCCTACGAGCATAGCATTAGAGGTGTTATTACATATTTGTGTTGAGTTAAATACATGTTTGAAAGCAAGGATACCCTGGCACAGGAGAGGCCTGACGTTCCTGCTCCTCCCACGGAGCCAGCGCATCCCGCAGGATCCCAGGGTCCGCAGCCGCCGGGTCCGGAGCCGCCGGCTCCCCCGCGCACGGACCAGGCATCGCACAGGGCCAGATACCGTCGCCGCGTGAGGAAGCAGTGCTGCAAGGCACGCTGCTTAATGTGTATGCATTTTATATATACATGTATATACAAATACATATATGTGACTGCTGTTAGAGATGAGCAAAAGGCAGTAACAATTACAGACCAGATCACATATAATTATGATTATATATAATAATTATAATGCATACTATATGTACACCAATGCATTATATATACTAACATATAATATTTAAAATATATGTATTATATCTACCGCTGTGGATATGATATACACAGAGCAATATGGAGGTAAGGCGTTAGGAAGAGGCTGGGGGGG